ACGTCCTCGCGGGCGGCGGCTGGCTCCCGGGGGCCCTACGCTGGCCCCCGGAGGCACAGCTTGCGCAGGGCGCCCTTCATGTCCCTGTTCCGCAGGCTGTAGATGAGCGGGTTCAGGGTGGGTGTGAGGACGGAGTAGAAGACCGCGGCCAGGCGGCCCTGGAGCGGGGAGTAGCGGGCGGCGGGCTGCATGTAGGCGGAGCTGCCGGTGCCGTAGAACAGCAGCACGGTGGCCAGGTGGGAGGAGCAGGTGGAGAAGGCCTTCCAGCGGCCGGCCGCCGCGCGGATCCGCAGCACCGTGGCCAGGATGCGGACGTAGGACAAGACCGTGAGGGCGAAGCAGCTCATGATGACGCAGCCACTGGCGGCGAAGCCCGCGGCCTCGTGGGCCGCCGCGTGGGCACAGGCGAGGCGCATGAGCGGGGGGATGTCGCAGAAGAAGTGGTCGACCACGTTGGGGCCGCAGAAGGGCAGGGAGAAGGTGTTGGCCGTGTGGAAGGCGGAGAAGAGCAGCCCGCCGCCCCAGGCCGCCGCCACCAGGGCCACGCAGGCCCGGGGGCTCATGGCCACGCCGTACACCAGCGGCCGGTACACGGCCAGGCAGCGGTCGTAGGCCATGGAGGTGAGGAGAAAGCACTCGGTGGAGCCCAGGCAGACGAAGGCGAAGAGTTGGGCCGCGCAGGCCGGGACGGAGATCTCCCCGGAGCCCAGTGCGGCGGCCAGCAGGGCCCGGGGCAGGGTGGTGGACGTGGAGCAGATGTCCACCAGCGACAGGTGTTTGAGGAAGAAGTACATGGGCGTGTGCAGCCTGGCGTCCAGCGTCACGGCGGCCACGATGGACACGTTGCCCAGGATGGCGGCCAGGTAGACGAGAAGGAAGATGGCCGCGCTCAGCGGCCGCAGCTCGGGGCCAGCCGAGAAGCCCCGCAGGAGGAAGACGGACACCGCCGCCGTGCCGTTGGCCATGGTCGGCTGGCCAGAGCCAGCTGGCGGCGGCCGGGCACGTGCACGCAGCCGGCACAGGCCTAGGGAGGACAGGGAAGGAGGGTGAGCTGAGCCCGGAGGGCTGCGGGGGTCAGCGGCAGGCGCCAGGGCGGCGGCTGACCAGTGGGCCGGGGCGCCGGATCGTGTGCCACAAGACAGGAAGATGTCCGAGCCCCAGGGCCCTGGTGTGTCACCGCCTTTGGGAC